TGACTATGAATACAGTGGTCTTGAGTGCTGTTAGAGGTAGGAGGGCGATTATCACTTCCCGGTTGCCCACACCGTGGAAGGGTTCTGCTGGAGGTACCTGAAAAGGAAATTGGATTAGAGTTGGTCATAGTGACCGCAGTGCCCAAGGGACAGCTGCTTGAGGTCGGTCACACACGACCTTTTTATGAGTGATTTTTGTGTTAGCTCCGTACTTGTTGAGTCCTTACCGCCGGAGACGGATATCCGTGGGATAAGGCGAGGTGTGCATTTTTAGGATCGACCTTTTCTAACCCCACCCCTCCTTGTGGGAAGGCAGCATCGCTGTCATGCTGGTTTTCTGAAGGAAACACCTTACTGCTGTCACACCTCTGTACAGTCAGCAGTACGACTTCGCCTTCGGACCTTGGTTTTGTTGCTTTTAGTGTTACCGCTCTTCAACCGACCTGTCTGGCATGGTAGGACCTTGAGGAACGGTTGTTCCAGCCAGTATAGCTCAGTTGCTTCATCACGATAGGCAAGCCCGACCACCACGTCAAGGTAGCAACAACGGTCAGGGTTCGGTCTGCCTAACCATTTATTTAACCATCATGCTCTTCTAGCGGACATGTACAAAGTTCAAAATATTCACCCTCATACGCCTAACAGCACTCGAAATAATCTTGTTCACGATAAATTCTATCTCATCCTTTAATAGTTCTATCTTCACGACCAGCCCTTCTCGTATACCTTTACCAACACGCGCCGCTAATGTTAATGATTCGAGTTCACGAAATGTTATTGGTGGTCTCTTGAAGTTACGTTCTAAACTATATATTAAAGCTTTTATTATTCAAACATTGTATCAGATAGGACAACAAGCCTTATTAGCTAAGAGACTATAATGAGCCACCGACGTATTTTGAAATGCGCATACAGGATCCAAGTACAGTCATTCGTTTGACCTCAGCTTACCAATATATAAATCGATGCGATTTATTCCCCTAGTATCTGGAGACCTCACTCCCACTTTCCGTAGCCCGTCTGGTGTAGGTATAGCAACATGAAGTTCTAGAGCAGAACAGGCTCTTCTAGATTGGATTCCAATAGACAGTCGCCTGTGTGCTGTCCAACTGAGCGGGACAATAAGAACTGGAAAAATAAGGACACACGCCGTTGCCATTCGTAGTCTCTACGCTCTCATTGATTGCAGCTCAATTAATTTGACGGGAAGCTTCCCAACCTCCGAAAATCTAGACGTTCAAGTGTAGTAATAGTAACAGGTGATTTTAACGTCCAAGTAGGTAGACTAAACCAAAATAATGTCACGGCTCAGCGAACCAATAATAGAAATCGTCTGTCACAACTGTGTTCATATTACCGTTTACTTCTAGCGGGCACTAGCTTTAATCATAAGGGGAATATTGCCTAATGTGGTGATCACAAATAACTCAAAGATGGACTTCGACAAAATCGCCATCAGTTATTGTTGGTGAGGCTCAATAGAAAACTGATACATTCTGGAGCACATGTTTAAACTCAGATCATTCTCTTGTACGAGCGCATATTTGTCTCTTACTAGACGTAAAAAGACTATAATAAGAAAGCCCCTTTAGAGTTCATCCTAATGACAAAAATATATTTCAGGAACAACTAGAGGAGTTAGTCAACCATAAAAGTGGTACCCATTCCGAGGTAGCTTGAGACAGTGTCCAAGTAGCTGTTGAAACGGCAATGAAGTCTACCAGTAACTTAAACCAAAAGACTAAAAAAAGCTCAGCCAATTTCAGTGGCGTCTACTGAACCGTTAGATGCTCAGAAACATCTCTTCTGGCGGAGGCAGCTTAAGCGTAGGCTGATAAAAGCCTACGCTATGATCGTAAGTGGTGGTGGGTAGCAAAAGCAGTAGCGACAACTGTTCAGACGTCAAGGAAACGAGTACTAAAAGTCCGGCTGTTCGTGAGGCTATCTCAGAAAAGACATCTATTATCCACTCGATCCAGAAGGTGGGGTTATTGGTCAGAACGCTAGAGAACAGTTCAGCTGGCCTTCAGACACATTTCAATTGCTCACTATCTCCAGGTAACTTGAATGCGTTACTTACTCGGTGGTCCCAGGATATATGAGCAATGTTTCGGAGACATCTATGATCAAATACTAGTAACCTAAGAATATCCTCTACTCTTGCCGGCCATGTTTCGCAACCATAAAGTAGAACGGAACGAACTGCTGCGCAGTAAACACGTCCTTTTGTTGGTGCTGCCGAATGTCTTGGTACGTCCGAGAGTGGGGAGAGTCAGCTCTCCCTCTCGAAATGCTCTCACATGGCCACGCGTATATAGCCTCTGCCAGGGAAGTCCTACTCACTGCCTTCTCGTGGTGGGGATGTTGTTTACGAAATTGAGGGAATGAAAAGCGAATGTCCGGCGCTTTAACCGGATCCCAAACCAATGGTGCACGTGGGCTCCAGTATCCTGAAGGAACAAATGGCGTATGAACCAATCGTTGGTCACCGGCTTCCATGGGACTGCATCTCCTTACGATGCTCCCCTGCCTTGTGGATCAGACGTTCAGGTCGAAGGCTCGGGGTGTGGCCCCTCTAAGAAAACCACCTGCTGCGGTTTGGGCACCCGGGCAGTATCACAGTCCTCACATATATCAATCGAGATTTGTGTAGCGCATATATTTGGTGCCTCCTTATACCAATATCTATGTGTTAAAATAAATAAATAAATAAAACTAGCCTTACTAATACTTCGACGGCTAACTGGAGCTCCTAAAGAACAAACCCGAGAAAACCAAATTGGTTTCAGACCTGAATGTAGATGTATAGACCAAATATTCACCCTTCGGCATGTTCTCAAAAATAGGCATGCTTTTTGACGTCTGACAACAGTTGTGTTTTTTGACCTTAAGGCAGCGTTTGATTCTGTTGTATTGTCCTTCATTGAGGCGTCCCAGTACATTAACCTCATACAGTCTCTGCTTGAACACCGCTAGTCAAGTCAGAGCTAATGGTGAGTTGTTGTCGAGAGTGGTAACTTCGAGTGTTGTTCGTCAGGGTTCTGCCTTCCCTATTTTTCAACTTTGTTATAACGCTCTCATTGTCTTATTTTTCAGGGGTTGATCTCCCATGAAATTCACATGTTGACCCAGAATACGCAGATGTTATAGTTCTAATTGATAAATACACTGACAAAATGCAATTTTCTGACTATCTTGAGAAACAATGAAAGCATTTTTTGGATGCGATTCTTCCCCTCCAAATGCTAAATGTTACTTCAAGTTTGACCTACATCGGCACCTGAATTAATGATAGGGAGTGGAGTAGTTGAACGCATCGATCGCTCCATTTATCTTGGGTATTCTCATCAGCACTGATGGTTCGATGTCTGACGAAGTCTCGGCACAGATTTTGGCTCTCCTCAAATTACGTCACTTGTAGTATATGTGAGATATCCATGTGTCAACTAAAGGACGAGTTTACTGCTCAACAGTTCGCTATGATCTACTTTATGGGTGTAAGACATGGCCAATAAGAATAGAGGAAATTCGACCATTCCCTAATAAGAGCGCGCATCTGCTTGCGCCTCACTGGACGCAAAAAAGTCACCCTAGAAAGACATGACCAATAAGAATAGAGAAAATTCGACCATAGGTGTTTTCAAAGCATTGCTCGTTTGTTTCTGGAACCACCGGATGAGCAATGCCTAGATTAGAGATGTGATATTAGGTAAAGATGGGAAATCGGTTGATAAAGCAGTAAACATTTATCAGCTGAGGTGGTCGAGACATGCGTTACGTATATTCAACCACCACCTAGCTCGATGGACGATGCTATCTGGTGTAGGAGTAGGTTAGAAGAAAGCTAGGGGTGATCTAGCTAGGACGCGGCACCAATTCATGAAGTTATTAACACTTGGGTCCAACCATGTTAATAGGTCTAAGCTACGTGGTTGGAGTCCGCGTGATTACAGTCACCAATACTTAGAGATCTTAGATGACGTGGCTCAAAATCGTTTGCAATGGTGCATGTGGACTGGCTCTTTGTCTTCCAGGTTCTAAACTTTTCAGTTCCTTATAATGTTATTTTGCTAATTATATTTTTTTGAATTGTGTTATCGATGCATGGTCTTTTCTATCACCACTGATGCTGATTTTACCCCGATTACTCGGAGATTTGTTCTAAGAATTTCATCTCTGTGCTAATGGTGTGCGGCATCTTAAGAAGATGTAGGTACGTACTAGGTTCTACGTTGCAACTGACTGACAACAGTTCCGTCTTCCTCCTTTCAAATTTTCCCAGTCAATTTATGTGGCACTTAGACGCTCATATAAGATAGTCACGAATAAAATACCTCATTCGCTTCAATCTAAAATGTAAGTTGGTTGCTTTCAGGAGCAGGGCATCTGCATCATAATTAATGTTCAGGGTAGAGTCATAATTATCATGTCTTACAATACGGAAAGTAAGGGATTAAAACAATTTCGTCATCCTTTATCATGTACCAAATGCCTTTTTTTGCCGTTTAAAATATACGTCAAAATGTTTAATTTGTCATTTGATTTTCAGGAAAATACTAAACTAACAATATTTTCTCGAAAACCTCGGTTCCTCAGTTATTTAATAAATGATCTTCAAATTTCGACTTTTATGATTAGTTCTTGAAGAAAAATCTTATTTAAACTCCACACATGTTCCGTTGATACCTAGTTTATGAACTCTGATTTCTGTTATACATATCTGGTAGTTAGAGTTCAAACAAATACAGTGAACCCTAAATTCATCCCACTATGTGGTTAAAAGTGTATTGAATTATAAATGAATTTGATAATGCTTACTATTAGTTACTAAACCGGTTGATTTCGTCTGTTATTTTCTGTTCGAAATAAACTGCGATTTACATTCATCATTTCTTAAACCACATTTTTTAAAAATTTTCAGTCATGAGGACTGATCCACACGATGCGTAGTTTTTAGTTTTGATTAATCAATCATTTTGGTTTGCTTTAAATTAATACAGGCTGGTGAGAATATTGCGCGACCGGACACTGATGCCATGACTCGTCTACCCTTTCTTCGCCGATGGTTTAGAACACGCTCAGCTATTGTACTGCATTTAAGCAATGGAACGTTGCAAGTGAGTTTAAATATCACTAATATCAATAACATGAGACAAAGTTTTTATATTTGATAGAATGATCATCCTAATAATCTTACATAATTTATTAATATGTACAATGTTATTATATCAAAGTACCTGTTTCGAGTTAGGGATTGTAGAAAGTTATACATAAATATTTTTGAACCTGATGGAAAATTAGTTAACGAGTCGGTCATTCGTCGTCGACATACACCCTGGAACAAATGTGTGCTACCAAAAGTTGCTGTACCCTACCAACACGACGTGATGAAGGGTGACAAAATAATGGTTCTTTGTGAGTTATTAAGTCTTGTGTTTTGTGGGAATCCTACTGGAATATTGTAAATAAAATGACTGGAGTCCTCTTAAGGATATAATCTATTGTCAGTCGAATTCTCTAACCAAATGGATCACTACTTTACTATATTCACAACAGCAGTTCAGTAGCAAGCCAATTAGATACACGTATGATTAGAAGTTGAGACCATCTTTTCCTCTCTATATATTAGTGTGACCAGTTGAGAGTATCTGTCAGTAACAGCGTGGAACTTCGTACGTACGTACGTACATCAGTCCGAGTTGCCATACCACATTAGCACAGAGATTCAGTTATCGATTCAAATCCCGTAGTGGTAGAGGTAGCAAAAGTATAAGCAGTAATCGGAAAGACTACGGTTCGAAGATGTTACTCAAGGAGTATAATACAGTGAAATAAAGTTGGAAAGAGAAATAAGGGACATGAAAAATTCGGAAGATTATAATTTAAGAGAACACAAAGAGTGGATGCGCCTGTGTTATTGTAAACGATTTTGAGCCATGTCATTCAAAGCCTCTAACCATTGGTTGCTATCGTCTCACGGATCCCAACCAGGTAGTCTACACCTACCAACATGGCTCAGTCCACCGACTGCCCCGATGTGCCATGCTTCATGGTGTAGGAGTAAGATGGAAGAAAACTAGAGGCGGCCAGACCAAAACATGGCACAAATCCATGAAGTCACTGACAAGTGGATTGAATATCATCACAAATATAATGAAAATGATGATATTCAGTTCACTTGTCAGTGACTTCATGGATTTGTGCCATGTTTTGGTCTGGCCGCCTCTAGTTTTCTTCCATCTTACTCCTACACCATGAAGCATGGCACATCGAGGCAGTCGGTGGTTAGGCATACGTAACACGTGTCCCAGCCATCTCAACTGATTAAGTTTCACTACTTCATCACTTGATTTGCCATCCTTACCTAGTACCCGTTTCCTAACAACTGAGTTACTTACTCGGTGGTCCCAGGATATATGAGCAATGTTTCGGAGACATCTATGATCAAATACTAGTAACCTAAGAATATCCTCTACTCTTGCCGGCCATGTTTCGCAACCATAAAGTAGAACGGAACGAACTGCTGCGCAGTAAACACATCTTTTGATTGGTAGACGGATATCTCGCCTACGCCATAAAGGGCTCAAGTTGGCAAAAGCTAGTTGAGCCCTCTGTATCCATGCTGAGATTTCGTCACACGCCAGACCACAAGGGCTGATGAGACTCCCAAGATGAGTGAAATGGTCGACACGCTCAACTACTTCACTCCCTATCACTATTTCGGGTGCAACATTTTGCACTTCGAGGGAGAGAATCTCATGCCGAACATGCATGCATTGTTGCCTAGAGTGGTCAGCAGACTCTGCATTTGTCATCGGCAACAAGTTCAACCCCTGGAAAGTCATGTGGAAAGTGTTATTTCTAAAAGCACGTCAACGACAAAGTTAAACAAGAATGGATAGAGTGGACAGCTCTGACGAACACCACTTGAGGTAATCAGTTCTGATGACAGTTTGCCATAAACTCTCACTCGACCAGTTGTGTTCGAGTAGAGAGCCTTTATAAGGTTAATGTACTTCTTTGGTACTCCTTTCAGTGACAAACACTGCCATAGAACCTCACGATCAACAGAGTCAAATGCCGCCTTTAGGTCGAGAAATACTACCATTGTGGGGCGTCTGAATGTGTGTCTATATTCTATGAACTGACGTAGTGTGAATATTTGATCTATACAACCACTTCCAGGTCGAAAACTAGCCTGGTTTTCTCTAGTCTTCTCTTCACGAGCTTTGGTTAGGCGTCAAAGTAATATTGAAGCTAATATTTTAGACACTAGATTAGTTAAACTGATTCCTCTGTGATTGTCACAAGAGGACTTTTGTCCTTTCTTATAGACCAGTCAGATGGGATTACGACCAGTTCCCAGATTCTACCTAAGACCTCAGTCAATCTCGCTGCTAATACTGGACCGCCATCCTTAAAAATCGCAGGGGTAAACCTGTCAGGGCCTGCTGCTCTCCCACACTTCAGATTTCCTATGGCTTTTCAACTTCGTAAAGAGTCGGAGGACTTACACTAATTTGCCATTCAGGTCGACTGGAGATCGTGGGAAACCGAAGTGTGGCTGAAGGCCAGTTGAACTGATCCCTAAAGTGTTCTGCCCATCGATCCAATCTCCTGGATTGAGAATGAATAATATGTCTATCTTTCTCTGCGATTTTTTCGCTAACAGTTGGGTTCCTAATACCGGTTTCCTTAACAAGTCTGAACAGTTGCCTGCTGTTACCTATTGCCGCTGCCTTTTCCATCTCTCTTGCTTTCGCTACCCACCTCTGTTCACGATCGATGCGTAGGCTTCTAGTCAGCTTACGCTTAAGCTGACTCCGCTCTTCGTTATGTTCAGAGCCAGACGGGATGAGTTTTCGAGCATCTATCAGTGCGGTAGACGCTGCTGAGATCCAGTGTTTCTCCCTAACCTTATGGTTTACCGTACTTGCAGAAACCACTGCTGTTTCTACAGCTTTTCGGATGTCATTTCACGCTGCCTCGGGGTGGGCATCACATACATGGCTGCCTAACTGTTTTTCTAGTTGTTCCTGAAATATACTCTTAGCTTGACTATCATTAAGTAGGACCCTAAGGGGTTCCTTGCACCATCTTTCCTACGTCCAGTAAGACGCGGACAAATACGCGCTAGCACTAGAGCATGATCTGAGACTAAGCATGTGCCCCAGAATGAGCGACAGTCTTCTATCGAGCCCCTCCGTCGGTGGCTGATAGCGATGTGATCTATTTTGGTCCAGCGTCGGGACGAATTCGGGAGTCGCCATGTTAAAAGTTGTTTTTCCTTATGCTTAAAGTTAGTGTTTGCAAGAAACAGGTGGTTATCCGAGCTTAGCCGCCAGGGACGGTTGCCATTATCTGTTCTTTGAGCCGCGACACCATAAGATCCACCCAGGTGTCTTTCCCTTTCGCTTAGTTTACCTGCTTGTGCATTAGTCACCGGCCACTATTACTACATTAGAGCGCCTAACTTTTCGGAGAAGGTCGGAAAGCTTTCTGTAAAACTCATCTTTTACATCATCTGAGCTGCAGTCAGTGGGTGAGTAGGCAGAGACGAACAAAAGACAACAACGAGTGTCCCTATCTTTCCGAGTCCTTACTGTTCCGTTTAGTCGGACAGCGCACAAACGACTGTTTACTGGGATCCAGTCTAAGAGAGCTAGTTCTGCCCTAGGACTCAATGCTATACCTACGCCAGCAAGGCCACGGGAACCAGCATCAGGACTTCTAGATACACGAGGCGTAAATCAAGTTGGTTCGTTACTTTGACATGGTGCGGTCAAATAAATGACACTACTCGAATCTTGTGCGCGCGTTTCGGAAACGCGGATGCCCAAACTAAAATAGAATGGGGATACAATTGCAATGTACTTCGACTGACTAATTCAGACGAACTTCCTACCCAAGTTTTATCTATCTTAAACTACTATATATTTTTAATCTTCAGCTAAAAAGTAAACCCAAATAAATCGGGTTTGTGAGTCAGTAGTACGGCTAATCATTTTAGCAGAAATTTATGCATTTGTTAAAGTGATCTTGTAGGTCATTGGGTGAGAATAAAATTGGATGGATTAAAGTTCAGGACTCCGTGTATGATGAACTAAAAACCATGCAACATTTTCTGGTCAAATTTCTTTAAGAAAAGAGTTTCTCAACACAATCAAAAGACATACATTTAGAACAAGCTACAGTTTGATGTATCCATCGATTTCCATGTATTTTTTATCGGGTTATGTTTAACACCAGTGTGTCGTACGCATTGTGAAAGATAGTTATTTTTTATCTAAAAACCTTCAGGAGTTGTAATTTTCTATTGTCTTCTGTCTTCACTATCATCAAAGTCGTTGGGATTGTTTTTTAAAGCTAACGTTACTTTATTTTACACACTGTCTTTTAGATAAACTTCTTTGATGATCATGCAAAAATCATTCTATGTCCCTTAATGCGTGCCGTAACTTATATTGATGCCAACAGGGAATTTAGAACATACCGCTTCAAACATCTACGGGAATTCGGTTTAAGTAAGGACTTAGCAAACAGATTGAGATACGCACAAGAAATGATAGAGCGTCTCATCCCAAAGTGCGGAACAATTTCCTCCAATTTAAATGATCCCAATACAAAAATGACTGTAGATAATGGTAAGTCCAACAAACCAGTTTCAGCGGATGTACAGAAAACAAATGCGACTGGGACTGGGGCAGCGACTAAGAAAATAACCCGACCGATTAATCAATAGTTTCCGTTTTATTTTCTGTGCGTTTTTATTCTTCAAACTGAACTCACAATGTCATTGTCGTTTATACTTAGTATTACCTCTTTCAAATTGAATCTAATTTAATTTAGTCACATTTTTCTGATAGAAATTTTGTACACTTTGATTGCACTCCTGATTTCATCCGTGGTTGTCCACAACACTACGAGATTGTTAATTTACACCGATTCGTCGGGATTTTAAAAATAGCATAAATATCTAGATTTCTTCATGTCTCTGTAACTTACATGTTGATCTGTGAAATCTAAATTATTGTAAAGCATTTCCTAACGAATGGATATGTTTATTCATCTTTTTCGATCATGAAATTTGTCGAAAATGATATATGGGGGAAAGTTCCACATTCATGTCTTCATTTTGACCTTTCTAACATTATTTAGTAATACCTTTAATTAGTATATGGCGAATTTTATTAGGCACGGGCGTTTTGCAAGCATACATCTGACATATAAAGTTGCAGACTATCTCATAAATCTTATTTTTAAAGGCTTTCATGAGTAAGTTATTGGAAAGCTAAACATTATGTACTGTTACGACAAAGTTCTTACTTTGTTCAACTTACAACATTTGTAAAACGAAATATGAGGTTTCTAAGTATAAATACTGCTGTACTCTCGATTGATTCTTAAGTCATAATTAGTTTTGAACTTTAAAGATACTTTGGTTTACAACGTGAGCACAAGAGAAAACTAAAAAACGAGCATCAATAACGAAGTAGGATGCTAAAGGTTTTGGTTTCTGGGATATATTTTGAAATTAATCGTGTCTAATCAACACAGTAGTATGCTTTATGCAAGTTGAATTTCGTCTCCAATAGATTGTTACTAGTTAGTTTAATGATCATTCCGTCACAAGAAATAATAACAGGATTACTGATCTATACGCTCCTCACGCCTATTTAAACACTTTCGTTAGTTGTGATGGCTGCACAATGCTGAACTAGTTTATTATTGTTTTCTCTGCAAATGATTACTGATCGCTGAGGTAGTAGCCGTTGTTTTAAAGTTGATCTTGGTGATAAGTCTTCGTAGCTACGAAACTTATCTGTGTATGCTGCTATCTCAAACTAGCTGTTATCTTAGGTATATATAACTAGGGAATGAGGAAAATGTTGATCGAAGTGCTTATTGATAGTGGATGTAGCGATTCAAAAGCATTTAATCATTAGGCTAACAAAAGATCATATAAATTACAAATTTTATGTACTCAATTTTGAGTTATGATTTTGTATGAATGCTTGGAATAGTATCCTAACAAGATGGAGCGTAGTTTGCACCAGCGACTTACCGGTTGAAACTGAAAAAGATTTATAAATCACTTAGTGACTGATTTACTTTATAAACTTGATAGTTCCATGATAAGTCGGAGCTCGAGCTCTATAGTGTGAGCTTTCGACCGGCTTGTGACTCGGTTCATTTGTTTCAGTAGGAAGTTGGTATTTCAAGCCGCATTGAAGTTAGCTGCGTAATCATGTACCTGATGGCTAAGTAAGATCGGGAAATTATCAGATGAATAAAACATGTGACATATTGTTATCGCAATATTGAAGACTCCTTTATGATGTCAATCAAATGTACATAGCAAAGAATTTTGGTAGTTATGGAGATTTCGGAATACCATGTTGTTTGTCATATTTTACTCAAATAAGCGATAATTAAACATTTCTAAAATCCATTATGTCATGCTTACTAACATTGACCCGAATATATCCATTATATATATAATATATATATAATTTTAAAATATGTTTCGAAATTAGATTCACTGTAAAAAACAATATGAAGAAAATATTGATTAGAACTTCATTTTTGGCGCAGGTACCGTTTAATTTGTCTACGTTTTCTGTAAAAGTTAAGTATCTCATACATTAAGTAATTCATACACTGTGTATGGAAGAAATATACCATCTGATATTACAATTTTAAGTGTTATTACACTAAACGAGGAAAAGACTGATCATTACGCCCACTTGGATCACATTCAGTTAAATTCATCAGTCGCTGTTGTGAAGCTACATGTATGCTTCAGGCTAATTATGTCTGATAAAATTCCATATTCTGGGACTTGTTTTTATGGCAGAAGCACTAATTTTCATATTCAGTGTGATCAGTTTTTCTTAAATTGAGGTAATTTTACTAAATCAGCTCCGGTACCACTATATGTAATTCATCTTAGCGCTTACTATTCTGGTACTAAATGCCCATAGGGACCTACATATTTTATTATCCCGAACATCCGCTCCCACTAGAGTACAAAATACGTTCCCTTGGAAGTTTTTTGTGTAAGTGATGGTATGGAGTATTCTCTCCAAAACAATCTTTTGTTGTGCTTTTTTTGGGAGTTTGACTAATCTAAACAAAATAATCTGAGGGGCTGTCAGTTGTTTTATAGTTTCTCAAATTCATACTGTAGTTACAGCAAAAGAAAGAGCTCGAAGAAAATAGTTTTGTATTATGTTGGTCTCTGCGATGAAGTTTTTGATGAATAGAGTTTGCTGTTTAGGTGGTTATGGAGATTACTGAATTTTTAGATTTACACCACAGACTGTCTTAAGTTAGACAAGCGTTGGAAACCAAGATGCACTGGATAGTAGTTTCTTCCAATATATGGAATTCGTTAGAGTTCACCTCCGGGCATCAAGGTCCGGTGTTTTCTGCTTTTCAACAGGTGTCTAATTTTAGTCTACATCTGGTGAAAATGAGCTGCTCCTGGATACTGATATAAAACTATTAACCAATCTATAATTTGTGATATATATAACTAACTTCATATTGTAATTCTGATTACCAGAGATTACTTCAGGGTTCACTGTGTAGACTGTTTGTACTTGTATTAAACATACTATTGTCTGGTCTATAATGTGGTTCTCAATCATTGGTCAAGTTGTTTGGTGGGTAGTATGCCTAGTCTATTATCTAAAGTATCCAGTGGTAGCAAGACATTTTTTGACATTACATCATAGCCCATGATATGAAACTACGAATACAGTTAGAGAAGGATCTTCGCATCTTTAAAAACCATTTGTATTTATTATTTTACCGAATATTGCGTATGTGGTCTATTCATAAATCCCTATCGACCATGCAAAATGGCTTGGATTTATGGGAATTTTTGTTTGCAAAGTTATGTATAAAATTTCGACCATTTTTAATTACTTAAATGTAAAAATCTCTGAGATTAAAAATAAATTCTACCAGCGTTTCACTTAACAATCAGAGTAGAATTTGCCAAAGTTAAAAATATGTTACAAAAATCACTATCCAAGAAACTACAAGCTCCCTGACATGTTCAAAATTATCTTCATCGTCGAGAACGACTCATCTGATCCTGAACAAAACCGAGAGCTATAATGTAGCTAAATTTAAATAAAAACTCAACACATATTTCGCACCGAATAACTCATTTACACAAACCATATTCAACACGTGATCATGGTTAGATATCTGTTTATGATAGTTGTTTTTGTGCCCTTAGTTGTTCTAGTTAATTTCGGTTACTCTAAAGAAATCTGGGGTAGAATACCAAACAAAACATTAGAACTACTTGATTTCAGTCGTGGCTTTTAAGCACGTAATTTTGTATTTGATATATTTCATTTATTCGGCCTCCAGTTGTTATGAAACTGGTGGAAATTCTCATAAAATGTCTTCATCTAAATTTATGTATGTATAGATTTGAATGAAATAAGAACAACTGAAGCAAAATACCATGAGTCTATTTATTTTGTTGATTCTCTTCGACTGCGCACAATCTAGTGATAGTATTGATTATTTCAAAACGGTGTACAAATTCACATAGTAGTACCAGGAAATATTCGTTAATGAAGATCAATTATATTCAAATGATTGGATGTTTATGTGTTAGATAGCGTGAATATTCTTTATTCAAACTCCCCTCAATTTTTCTAATGGAAAAAGTATGAGATGCTCATCTTTTTTTGCTGTATTTTTCATTTCTGATAAATGACACGACTGTAAAGGGACTGTTTAACAAGCTCACATAAGTACATTGAACTCAAGTTGCATGTAGGTATCATTACCAAGATTTGATTTGATAATTTCGAATAAATTGAGCATTGGGTAGATTGTTATAAATAAATAATATATTTGTAATATCCTAATGAGTAGGAAAGTTAGATTTTAATTGGTATTTATTCTCTGAAGAAGTGACTTACACTAAGTCACGAAACGTCAGAAAATCTAATTTTCCTACTCATTGGGATATCACAAATATTTTATCAAGTTGCGTGGTTTGTAATCTTAACGATACTACTATATACTTGTAAGTAGTTTGTCTCTAAACTCTCAAAGTTTGCTCAGTGGGTCTTTCTTTTCTAGATGATAGTAAAATATCGTAGTGTTTAGCTACTTTTGTTTTAATTTGAAAACAGTATATTTATCAGAGATCTTTTATGTTCGTCACAATGGAATGATTCTTAGTGAGTCGAAACAATATTGGGATTTAATTTAAACGAACATACAACTTCAAGAATTTAAATATGCTAACAATGTACAACTTTAAACGATGTGTATGTTTCTAGACTTGCTTTTTGCTGATAAACTCCCATCTGACATTCATATCAGCTCAGTTATAATTGGATTAACCTTGGTCGTTGTAATATAAAAGCCACCATCAAAACACTTAGGCGGAATGCAAGCTCTGGTGCAGATGACACCATATCGATCTTTTGCGAAATGGCAAGACCGGACAGAAGAACATGTATGTTGTCCCAAAACACTAATCAGGATTGAAAAACCTGGTCCAAAACTACAGACCAATCATGCATAACGGAAAATGAAACAAGATTTATTTAATCGACCCGTTGCAACACGGCTTCATTAGAACAAGATCCTGCAGTACATGTCTGGTAGACTTCTTTAACGAGGTTCTTCGAATACGTGACCAAAAGAAATAAGTGCTTATACTACATTCCGGTATCAAAAAGCTTTTGATAAGATACCTCA